AATAAATAATAATAATAATAATAATAATAATAATAATAATAATAATAATAATAATAATTTTAAAAGGTATCAGAAAGGAGCAGCCAAGTAGTCAAGTTAAACAGGACTTTCTCAATTTTTTTTGCTAGTCAGGTGATCAGATCAGCTCATGTACACAGAGAATAGATGAGGACTCAGGTCAGGGTTTAGAGACTGGGAAGAGGAGGAAATAAAGAAAGAATTACATTTAAGTTGAAAGAAAACCAAGAGAATGTGGTGTTCAGAAATCAAGTGAAGAATGTGTTCCTATAAAGAGAGACTTTCAACTGGGCCAAGTGTTCCTAAAGAAGCTGAACAAATTGAAGACCAAGTGCTGACCATTGGATTTTACAAAATGGAGGCTGCCGGGGCTTAACAAGGGAGTTTTGGTGGAGTGGAGGGGATAAAAGTTTGGTTTAGAGTCGGCTAAAGGGAGGAGCATTGTTAGAGGTATTCTTTACCCATTCAGCTATTCAGATTCAGGCTTGGAGAAGGTGGTGGTGTGTTTGATATGACCAAGGGCTGAGAGTGGGGCAATGGAGAAGAAGGTTGTGCAAGCTAGTAATGCTGTAATTAATCACAAAATCTAAGCTGTAGAAAGAGGGATGTAAAGGTGGGGGGGGCATTTTCTCCTTTTTCTCTTCATTCTCCTACTGCCGTCCTCAGTTTCTGAGATCTCTAAATTCTGAGTCAATTCTCTTCCAGTGTGAAAAGAAAATTCCTATCAAAACATCCTCAATCAACTCTGTAGCCTTCCTTTCAGTCAGCTCCAAATCCAGTCTCGCTGACTTTGGGGATTTCAAAATATTTTAGCATGCAATAGCATTTCTTCATCTGCCTGGACAACAGTGTTAAGGCACCAGACTTTAGGCCTGTCATTCCCATTGTTTTCTCCCTGATTTTCAAATCCCACTTCTCCATAAGAAAAGTATCATCTTGGAGAAGACCACCTCCCATAACACATGAATGGCATCATCACACCTGCATCCTTTTTCATCTTTTTCTCTGTTTTATTTCTCATATTCTACCAGCTTCCAAGTCCTGTGAATTCCATCTCCTCAGTACTTCCTGAATCTGTCTCCTTTATTCCACTGCTGGATTATTACCACTGTTTTATTTTCCCTCCTCCTCTTCCCTCTGTATCTGTCCTTTGCTACTGTACCGGCCTCCAATCTGGTTTCTTGGTTTCTAACCTTGCTTGTCTCCATTTTTCAGTGATGCAGGGCTGTCATACACAAGTGCCTGTGACAAGACACTTGGGGAGAAGGTGAAAAATGCTAAAGTTTGACCTGACGCCTGAGAGCTAAGCCAAGAGTCCTTGGAGAGAGGTGGCATTTTCCTTTTTTTATACTTTATCAGCCCCAAGAGTTGCCTTTCTGTAATTCACCACCAAAGTGGGTCATTATTACATAATTTGCACAAAGACACCCTGTGTCCTAGTTGTGGCCCCTCTTCTACAGTACAGGCAGGACAAGTTTTCAAAAAAATACCAATTATACTGACCTTTATGTTCAGAAGGGCACTTTGTTTCTGCAAAGCCTTTGAAGTAAAGTTCAAAGTTGTTAGCATTGAAGATACAGCTCACAATGTGTCCTTATTACCTACTAATATGTAATAAAGAATTCCAAAACAGAGTGGCTTGTGGTATGCAGAATAATAGCCATTCTAAAAATATCCTCTAATCCCTTGAACCTATGAATGTTACCTTACATGGTAAAAGGGACTTTACAGATGTGATTAAGATTAAGGACTGTGAGATGGGGAGGTGATTTGAATCACAAGTCCTTAAAACTGTTGGGGGAAGCAGAAGAGTAGGTAAAGAGATGTGGTTTGAGGTCTGGACCCACTGTTGATGGCTTTGAAGGGCCAAGGAATGTAGCAGCCTTTAGAAACTGGGAGTGGTGGCCATTATCTTTCAATCAGCAGGAAACAGAGACCTCAGTCCCACAGCTGCAAAGAAACAAACTCT